GGAGTAGAGCACCCCTGAACGTTTAACGACAATACTTTCAAATCACTCATTATAATTTACATATAGTATTTTCCTATAACATAACCCCACACTAAAAGCCATCCACTCACAAAAAATACACAAAAACCACAAAGAAACAAAAAAGTAAAATTGAACACAGTAGGAAAAGAAAGGGAGAAAACTCTCTTCCCCCTTCACCAAAAAGGCAGATGAAAATAAAAAACCAAGAACAAAAACGCACTGCTGGTTGAAAAAAGACTCAAATTTAAATAAGAGCGGTATCAAGTTGTTTTGTTGTTGCTAGTCTCACTATGAAAACTTAATCTAATAAAAATACACTACATGTGGACCTCTCTCAGATTTGTTCATTTTGTAATGAAATCTTCAATTCTCTAATTTTGGTGAATATTTTTGTCATTTTTGGTAAAAAGTGATATTTTCGACGTCTTGTTAAAAACCGCAAGTCCAATTGCTTTGATATTACATATATAGGTACTACATGTGAATCTTTCTCATATTTGTTCATTTTGTAATGATATCGTTAATTCTCTAATTTTGGTGAATATTTTTGTCATTTTTGGTAAAAAGTGATATTTTCGACTTCTTGTTAAAAACGCAAGTCCAATTGCTTTGATATTACATATATAGGTACTACATGTGACCTCTCTCAGATTTGTTCATTTCGTGATGATATCTTCAATTCTCTAATTTTGGTGAATATTTTTGTCATTTTTGGTAAAAAGTGATATTTTTGACTTCTTGTTAAAAACCGCAAGTCCGATTGCTTTGATATTACATATATAGGTACTACATGTGGACCTCTCTCAGATTTGTTCATTTCGTGATGATATCTTCAATTCTCTAATTTTGGTGAATATTTTTGTAATTTTTGGTAAAAAGTGATATTTTCGACTTCTTGTTAAAAACTGTAAGTCCGATTGCTTTGATACTATACATATTGTTCATTTTCTAATGATGTCTTCAGTTCTTTAATTGAAATGTGCATTGCTAACAGCAGAGCTATCTCAGCCGATAGGCTGCTTGTTCACCTTTCCACTGAGTTCCATTTGCTTCATTATAATATTCTGACCAGTAGCGTCAGCAGCTCATCTGAGAAATCTGAGAAGCTACATTTTGCTGTGGCTGACCATGCACTAGTACATATTGCTCTAAATACTTGCAGTTTTGGTGAAATATACTGTGATAAATATCCTGTTGACATCATTAGTGCGACCTGTATTTATAACAAAAAACTGCTTGTAGATTAGCGTACAAAACATGTACATGTACAAGGAAGGGTTCAATTGTGGAAAAGTGAATTGGTATGGCTGAAATCTGCTGGACGCTTGAAATGTTTGTAATTCTTCATTTGAGATATTAAAGCACAATGCTTATTAATCAATTGTTTTGTTTGTACAGAATATCGATTAGATCCACGAAATCGAAGTGCCACTACCGGGGAAATCAATGCCAAGAAACCTCTGTCTAGATCACGCAGTGCACAGTC